TTTGTCTTATTACTGTTGTTTTGCTAAGTTTTGTCTTGCATATATATTGTATTGTTTTGCTTAGTATTATTTGTCCTGTTCTTTTTCTTTCTTTTTTTATTATTGGAAACTTTCTGAATTCTGTTTGTGGGCATTTTTACCAATTACTCATAAGCATGGCCAATTACTCTACATACAGACATCATTCATTCATGATTTGTACCTAAATGACTAAATGGCAACTATAGGATCCATAAGGTTACTATTTACTCAGATTCATGAGGTTACATCATTTCCTGGAGTAATTGCCTGGAAATAAGGCTAGAAAGACAAAGCAAAAACAATGGTATGCCTGCATGCATGCTTGAAGAGAGAAGATTTTTTTAAATGGTGACAAGTTGGTGTAAACAATGCACAACTCCATGGAATGCTTCAAAGAAGATCAAAATGTTAAAAAATATTCAATTTGGAAACCTAGCATTTGTTTTATTTCCTTTTTTGATTTATTTTTAGAATTTAAAAAAGTTCAAATATCATTTTTGTATTTTTTTTTCAAGTGAAAATGAGCATGGAATCTGCCTTTTAAAAAATGAATTTTCTTGTTATTTTTACCTGTTTGATATGTGAATGATTTTACAATGTTTTCCTGTTGTTTAAGTGTTTAAAGCAAATTGAAGGACTATTTTCTTTTTGCCGGAACTTTATAATTTCTATTGGTCTTGTGGATATTTACATTAGGCTTATAACAAGTTTTTCAAACTGCACATTTTTCTTTTTTTCTCTTTCTTTTGCTCTTTTAAAATATCATTTTGACCAATTGAACCACAGTAAATGTTGCTGTGATGTTCCACCCTGTTTCAAGCAGAATCCGTCTAATGTTTCAGTTGCTAACTTTGCACTTATTAATTTAATTTCAAAATAACAAATTTTATCCCTCTCTTGACATTTACTGTCCACCAAACTCAATTTTGACTTTTTCTTTTCTTCCTCCCATTGCACATGCATATGCATGTGTTTCCTTTTTCAGATGTTTTTGAATGGCTACATTATTTTACCCACAGGTTACCTGTTGTATACCATCATTCTTTACCCACCTCCCCAACAAAAAATTTTTTTTTTAAATAATCTCATGCAGGAGGAAAATTATCAGGATTCCTTGAGAAAGCAAAAATTTTGACCTTATTAAGAACGTTTCTTGTTTATTATTTTCAAAAAGAAAGCAAGCAAGCAAAACAAGTGGAGATCTGTTGTTTTCCTGAGAGATTGTGAGCCACACAGCTCTGTACGTTGTCTCACGGTAAATATTGCAACTTTTCAGCATTTGTAACTCGATTTTTATTTTTTCATTGCATAATTTCATAAACAGTTGAAAGCTTTTTGCTGTTTTAGTTTAAACATTTATTAATAAAAATTTGAATTTTTGAGAAGATACAAATTTGCTTAACTTCTTTTTTAAGAAATAATCTTCCAGTAGGAAAAATGGTCCATGTATCAACCGTATAGAAAAGTTTACTTGAAAATCAGTTTGAATTAATGTGAATGCAAAATTATATATTTATTTAGAGGTTACTATTTTCATTCTGGTATTATTTTTATAATTTTATTTAAGTTCAGAAATCAATTTTGTAACTCTTAAAATTGTATTTATACAAAACTTGATTCATAATTTCTTGAACAAATTGTTTTGCATTCTTCTTATTTGGTCTTTATATATATATATATATATATATATATATATATATATATATATATATATATTTTTTATTTTTATTTTAGGATATTACAACAGGTAATAATATCTTAAAATAAAGAATACAGCTCTACTTTTGTATTGAGCTATCTTTTTAAATTAATGTTATGAACATTAGAATTTATATTTGATTCATTCTCATTTTGTGTGTGTGTGTATATATATACATATATATATATATATATGTATGTATATATCTTTATGTATATATGTGTGTGTGTGTGCAAATTTTCTTTGTTGAGCATTTATATATACATTTTACTGACTACTTCAAGAAAAATAAGAATTTCTGGTGTTGTACCCATGTCCATGGATTTTGAAAATAATATCATTTTTATATATATATATATATATATATATATTGTGTATTTAGGTAGCAATTCCTCGTTTATACATGTTTTATTAAAGATGACAGATAAGGTACTGCGATTAAGCTTTTTATTTAATTTTTCTTGTGTTCAAACAAGTCTTTTCAGGACACAGAGTGTGTAAAAACTGTCCAAATGTTCTGTAAAGCCGAGTCTTTTCGGTTATACTTTTAGTCATTATCAAAGATGATTTTACTTTTACTTTTTAACTAGATGTATGGGTTGTGTTTGTTTCTAGAATTATAGAGATGGTTTACAGTTTCTACACACTCTGTGTCCAAAAAAGAAGACATGTGTTCGAACACAAGTAAAATTAAATAAAATGCTTAATCTCAGTACCTTGTCTGTTGTCTTTAAGGAAATGTGTGTGTGTGTGCATGTGTTAAATTTCTCAGAATATATCTGTAGAGAAGACAAATTGGATAAAATAGACAATTAAAAATACAAATGATGAAACGTGTCAGCAAGGTCTAAGTACTATTTTGTCTATTTTATTCATATATGTGATAAAAATATAGTTTTAAGTTATGCTTATGGATAAATGTGCTAAATATCAGAGATAGAGTGAATGTAAATTTACACTGAGATCAACACCATTTGGTGACAATATTTTTCATATTTCAGGACCATCTGATGGTCTGAAATTATGTTGAAACATGAAACAGACTGTCACTACTCAGTGTCCACTTTTATATTTATATTCTGGTTTTTGAGAGTCATTTTTGGAGCAGAAAATAAATTGTTCCAATTTTTGGTCAAGCAATTAAATGCGTTCTGTAATTTAATTTGAAAATAGTCATTATGAATAAAAATTCTGAGCACAATTTTACATTTATCTTTATTTGTTTATGTGTGTATACGTGAGTGTGTATGTGTCTGCAAGTGATATTGAAAAGAGAAAACTTAAATCTTGAATAAGTAAAAATACCAATTGATTTAGACATTTGTCAGTATGGTCAAGATGATAAAATTTAACTTGCCTATATGATGTCTTGTATTCTAGGTAATGTGGTAATAATTTTTTTTTAAAATCATGTAAAAAGGAACAGTGTGTTTCTATGCTTAGAAAATTTCAGTTAAGTAGACTTGTAATCATCCATCATCACTTTTAAAATCTAATTACATTTATTTATTTTTTAAATCCATCCACTGTCTCCAATTAAATGATCAACCACCAAGATTTGACTTTTTCTCCCATTGGATGACATATAGTTTGTTTTTCTATACTTTGAAACAATCAAATTGTCAAAAAACAAAACAAAAAACAATCCTTTTTTTTTTTTTTTTTTTGTGCATTTTCTAGTATCACCTGTGAAAATTCATTACATTTTTTAAGTCTGCTGTTTTCATCTAAATATTTGTTTTTCATCGTTTGAGTTTTTCTCTGCTATTACATAGGTAAAAGTAAAACCCTACCGACGTAATTAGCCCAAAACTCTTCCTTCTCACCTGTTCTGTCTCTTACCTTGTCCGCGTGTCCCCCTCACAGTTCATTTCTTCATTTTCACCTTACCTACTTGTTTTTTTTTGTTGTTTTTTTTTTATCTGTCACTGTTAGAGAGCAAAGACTGAAAATAGGTCGCCGAACCTAGTCGTTAAAAAAAAAAAAGAAGAAAAAGAAGAGAAATTCCATGTTGCCTCTTTTGTATAGGTAGTTGTAGTGATTGTAAATGGATTTGTTTCATTACTAAACCCTTAGACCTTAAAATATTAGTCAATCACCCTAACTCCAACAAGGTATCCTTCTCTTGACTATTTCAGTCATCGTCTGCTTCTTGGCTAAGCTTTGGTATTTCAAATGAAATGTGACTGTTTTTTTTTTTTGTTTTTTTTACCCTGCTTTCTATTGATTTCTTTCTTCATCGATTTACTTTGTTGATTTTCCAACTTTTCTTGGATAGCTTACTTTATTGATTGTTTTACTTTTACTATCATTTTTAACTTGTCTCAATTTTAATTTTCACCACGCCTTTGAGTTGACTGTCGTTATCTTTTGAGTCCTTTTTCTTTTTCCTTCGCCTCGCACTGTCCCTACTTTCTTTTTAAACTTTTTTTTATTCCTTTCCTTTCACTCTCTCTCTCTTCATGCTACCTTGAAACAGAAAAAGAATTTAATATTTTCATTTTCTTAGAAAGAAAGTAAAGCTGTCTCAGTTCACTAACTTTTTTACTTTGTCAACATAAAAAAAATTGCTTCTTTTGAATTCGTCCCGTAAGATGACTACTGTCCAAATCATTCTGTTATCGTCCATATTTCTTTTACTTTCTCTTCTTTTCTCTCGTCTCACATGTTGCTGGGCCGTGCAAACAATAACAAATAATCCAGCTGGCAAATACAGGCAGCACTTCCACTCCAATATTCATTCTCTGAGTGTCGCGAAATAAGGCACCAGTTTAAATTCGAACAGAAGCCTTGTGGCCCGTGTTTTAGGAACAACACATTGAACTGTTTTTAACCCTTCTTATTCTTTAGTAACTAATGTTGACCACTGTGGCCCTAAACAAACAAAATATGCACTAGTAAGCAGCAGAGGTGGTAGCAGAGTCAGGCCTCCCATATAATTTTTACTCACTACTTGTGTCTATAACTGCCATTAGCTATCCCGAGGCTTCCAAGTTTTTTTGTTTGTTTGTTTTTTTACCAATATTTTGAGGCGTTTTAAAATACACGTCCTTCACCATAGATCCCCCTCCCCACCTTCGCACTTGAAGAGAAGGAAACAGGGACTTATTAATGAAGAGTTGGGAAATAGACAACCTGGATGATGAAGTACTTACTTGGATACCAAGCGATTAGATTTATTATATTACTACTACTACTCCGAGTACTACCGTGACGTGTTTTTGGTAATTTTTCTTTGTGATGATTAAAACATCCAAAAAGAAGAGAAAAAAAGCTAATAATGTTGAAGTGGGTAAAAAGTAACCTCGAAACGTAAGTAAATTTAAAAATTGGTTTTCGTATTTAGTTTTAAATGAGATTTAAAAAAAAAAAAAAATAAAGAGTAAAGAGTAAGAACTTAAGGAGGCTTGTTGTTACTCTTCGAACAGAATACATAACTCAAACTGTTTTTTAGTTTCATTTTGAGGAAGAAGTTTAACAAAATATTTACGTGACATCTTCAGGCATTTTTCTACTCCACGTTTTTAAAATAACATTTTATTTCAAAGTTCTTGATGTTTTCTCTCTTTGTTTTTTGTATTGCAACATTTAAAATTTCATGTCACATCTTTCATTTAAATTTAATTTTGCTTTCTACTTTTAAAAAAGGAAAATTAATTGGAGGAAAGGAAACCAATACTTTCTCTTTTTTTTAGCCACCCCCACGAAATATTCTATCTTTAACTTTGTAATGTTGAAAAACAAAAATACATAACTTTTTTCTGATTTTTTTTTTATTAACGTAGTTGTAGCAAAAAAGTAAAGAAAAAATAATTACATTATTTTTTTCGCAATTAATTTCAGACACAGCTAATTGAAAACATTTTATAACTCTTTAGCCTTTAAGTTTTAACTTTTCAAAATTCTAAAAAGTTGAACGAATCAAAAAAAATAAAAAGTTGAATGAATCACGCCCGCCACACGGTAACTTGTCTACAATTCAATTGTTATTTTTTCTTTTACTTCTTTAAAAAAATATCGTAAAAAAAAGAACTCGTTTGTCTTGCTAACTAATTAAGTAATTAAAATTTAATTTTTGTTTTTAAAATGACAGATGAGATTTAAGTAAATTAAATCTCGACTTTTAAAACTTATCTTTTTACTTTATTTAAAAAAATATCCGCTCAAAAATGACATGTATTTTCAAAATGTCTAAAAAAGTAGAGATAAAAATAAAAATTTTAAATTCCTAGACAACAACGTGGTCATAATTCCACATTTCTATTTCAATCAACATTCACTTTTTATCTTAAAAAAATCTTAAGGTAAAAAAAAATGCTTTTTACAATTTTGTTGAAGTATTTGTTTTTTAAAAGAATGTTAGGTTTTCAAATCATTTTTTCCGTACGAATCGGCCATAAAGTTTTTTTTGAGATATGAAACTTAAGTTTGTCATATAATTTTGCTAAACTTTATTGGAAATTAAAATAACTTGTACTAATCATAAATCATACTGATTACACACAATCTGAGGACGATTATTTCTTTCGATTTAAATTATTTTTTTAGAAAAATAAAACACATGATGCTCATTGTTTCCCCATTTCTTTCGCAGCAGTGTGTATGTTTTTTTTTCTTTTTTAATTAACTTATTTTTGTTTGGGAAAAAAAAAGATTTAAAATGTTATTTAATTTTTGTTATTATTATTCTTGCCAGTATTAGTAAATTAAATTCATCACAATTTAACTGAAGTCGTGCTTTATTGGTTATATCAAATTTTCGCATTATTTCACCGTTATTCGTCTTATGGACATTTACATGATATTTTGCAAAAATGACGCGTACAAAACAAGACTCCTTCCTCTCTCTTTTTTTTTTTTTTTTTTTTGAAAAATCCTTCAGTTCCTGCTTTATGAAAACCTTGCTACAGAAAAATATCAATTGAAAGACTCGTTAAGAAGATGAGATTAATAATTGGTACAAAAGTAGGGGATACCTAGGGATGATCGAACTCCGTATTCAGTTTTTTTTTTTTTTTTACAAAGACAACTTAATCAATTATTATGCCACAATAAGTTCACAGATATCAAGCAAATTCAGTTGGGAACTTAAACCAAACCTGGAAAGTTGTCTATTAAAAACAAATAAAAACTCTGACAGAATACGGACAAGTTAAAATGTTTTGTTTACAAGAAAACTAAAGATAAAAATAAAATCACTGTCTCGAATGTTTTAGGAATTAACTTTAAAAATCAATTAATTTTGTTTACAACTTTGATTTTAATGAGTAATAATCAGTAATGTGACAATGTCTGTCTTTATCTAAGTTTAGACTTCAAAAAAGCAATTCTAAGTACTGTAAAAAATGTAATTCCAGCTTTCAATTATATACTTTTTTTTTTCGTTATTGATAATGCAACATTTCATTTGGTATATTCTTTGAACATTAACAAGTGTAAAGAAAGCTAATATTAAAAAATGAACATAAAAACAAAATCTCAACTAAACATAAATCTTCAAAATATATTCAATCTTTATGAGATCAAAATTAAAGTCTTAAAAATAGAAATGGAGGGGAACGCAGTCAGCTAATTAATACCACAAAGTAAGGTTTAGAGAATAAAAGGTACCAGAATGTTGAGTTCTGAGTTCATGTTCTATGTGATAAGTAAAGAAGGAGGAAAATTAATATTCAATTTTTGTGAATACATCTTAAAGTACCTGGAGCAATTCTGAGGTTTTCCTCAAGTACAATTGGTCAGCAGAAAGCATTAGGTAGGAAAATAAAAATACAAACTGAAAAAAAAAATACTGTTTTGTGTTTTGGCTTCTCAAGTCATTAGTAATGAACTTACTGAGAGCTCCATAAATATATAAAACTTCTTACTTAAGTTGGTTGAGTTGTGGACAAATAATAATGATAATAATACCTATATTGTTTGTTGTAGTAAAATGTACTACTGCATGGAGAAACCCAGAAGTTTCAATCGATAACCTTTTTGTCGCTAATTTTTTAAACATTAAATTTGAATTACTTTATTTTGTCCTTGTATCACTTTAGGCTTTTAAACCATCTTGTGTTTTTAAAAAAAGGTAGATGTTTAAAAAGAGACTGTGTGTATGAAATCATACCCCCCCACCTAAAAAAAAAAAACAAAAAAAACTTATTTTTGTTTGTTGGGATTCTGGAACTGACTATGCCGAATTAAATTTTATTAGGTATTTTATGTTGAAAAAAAAAAGCATTTGTCGATCTTTTAAGACTTAAAACATTGACAAATGCTTTTTTCTTTTTTCTTTAACTGCTGTCAATAATGGTAGGATCAGATGATCGATTAAAGTTTTTTTTTTAGTAAAAACCTATGACATTTAAAGAGATTTTCTTGGAACAAACAACACTTTTTAGGTGGGATCAAGCAAGATCCCTAGCTTTTAAATTTCGTTGATAGGGTTTTTATTTTTTATATATAAACTTAAACTTTAAAAAAAACCTAGGGAACCGGATTTCTTGTTCTCATATTTTTTTTGAGGTTTGGTAACTCCTGGTAGAAGACAAGAAGATTCTATGGCCTTATTCACCAAACAGTTTCGACACCAAAGAAGGATATGAATATCTCAAAGTCTGTTCATAATTATAACTTTAATTTACTTTTTGATCACTAATTCTCTCTCCTTTTTTTTTTCGTTTGGCTGAGTGACATATTTTACTTTGTTTTTGTATGTAGGCTCGCTAAAATTTTCTTAATTTAAGCCAAGTTTAAGCCTCTTTAAAGATAATAAAATATTTTTTCTCAAGCTATGCACCATTTATTGTTGGAGCACTAATTATTCATAACATGCTCTACTGGTTAGCTGATACTTTTGTTCTGACTCACTCACTTACGAAAATTTCAAATTTATAATTGTAGAGTTCTTCCTTTCCTCAGACTGGTTGTAATTCTTAAAACCTGGTTGACTGCATTTGGTTAAAGGATATCAGTGTGGAAAGTGGAATTGGCAATCTAAGTTCACATTTATATGCCTTTAGGAATGGCATGGACCTCTCCACCCCACCATCACAGTGGCTAAATAGCAGGGTAGACTGGACTTTCTAGCATTGGGTAGCAATGTCTAAGAGAAGGAAAACTCTGAATTCCAAACTATGGAGAAGGCAACAGGAAGTCATAGCAGTATCCCAAGAATACATGGCAATTCATAGATAAAGAAAAGGAATCAGATATATATGGGGAAAATTATATGATTTTGGCAATCTTTAACATTTGTGTCCAAAGGATGGTTTTTTCCCTTGACACGACTATTGTTTTAACTATATTCACTCCCTCTGCAATATTTATTGTTTTAAAAAGCAATTATTATAATTTTAATAAACCCTAAACGTATGAAAGTGATACATTTTTGTTCTTGAGAAATGATGACAAAAGCAGTAAACGCTATTAGATTGTTTATTTAAACTATTTATTAGATTGTTTATTGGCTAATTGCCAACTGATTTGAACTTTATTAAATAATAAGGATTTGCTTATAGGTTGCTTCATATATTTTAATAATTTAGTAAATGTTGATAAATTTATGAATAATAAATTGTTTTCATATTTATTTCTTTATTAGCAGCCATACCCAGTTGTTGATCAGAAAAGTGTTCATTTAGAATGGAACAAAAACAGCATCATGTTTAGATGTAACAGTGTCTATCTTCAATTATTTTAAAGTACTTTCATTAAAAAACATTTTGAATTGATGTAGTTACTGATATAACAGAAGTAGTCTGTATTTATTCAATCAAAGTTAACCGAGGACATGAAGGGGTAAAACAGGCAACATGAAGACCCACTCCAAACCACAATTATTTTGGAGTTTTTGAAATTCAATTTGTCAGTGTGCTACTAGAGATGTGAAAGAGTATACATTTCTGAAGCAATTGTTAAGTTTGAAAATTGGTTGGAACATCAATGAAAAATAAAAAAGAAACCAGTAAAAATTGCCATTTTTTGCTATTTACATGGGTTTTCAGTATACGAGTGGACTCAATTATCAAGTTAAGTGACCGTTGAACAATCAACTTATTGTCGGCGACAATCGAGTGAAGTTTGTATTAGATTACTTGAAAATAGAGGGAGTTTTTAGTTTAAAATTTGTGTTGAAATCAATTTGTGTTAAAAAAAATCGTTTTTTCGTTTTCAGTTTTTTGCTAAATGCAGTGGTGTAGAAATAAAAATGAGGTATTTTTGAGCTCGACATGATGCAAGTAAGCTACATACCAAGTTTAAATGAAATCGAAGGAAAAAAGTTAAATTTATCTTTTTTTTTTTTTTTGATCGGCTTTATTGATTTT